GGGCTGGGCTGGGGACACGTGGGGAAGCTGAGGAGGGGGGCATCCCCTTTGGATCAATCAGGTGAGGGTCTGGGTGGGGGCACATGGTGGGGCACTGGGAGGGGCTGGGGGCACATTGGGAACAAGAAAGGGAGGGCGGGGGCCATGGGGTTGCCAGCTGCCCTAACTTGCTCCCGACCCCTCCTGCTCCCCCAGTCCCAGGACCCTGCCGCCACCGTGGCGCTGGGTGTGACGGTGCTGCGTGACTTGCTCCTCTATTCAGCCCAGCTGCCCGAGCTCGCCCGCGACATCAGCACCAACCACATCCCCGGGCTGCTCACTTCCCTGCTCGCCCTCAAGCCCGAGGTGAGAGATGGGCCTTGGCTCTGGCCCCAGCTGTTTCTTCCTGCCTCCACCCTGCTCCCAACCCAGCCAGCTTTCCTGGATCAGGCGTCTATATATCCCCCTTTCTCCCAGTCTCTTGGACTGGGTTTGGGGTCAGTGCTGACAGCATTTCTCCCATCTGCTTTCCAGTGCCAGCTGTCAACTCTGGAGGGCACCAGGGCCTGTATGACCCACTACCCCCGGGCCTGTGGCTCCTTGCGGGTAAGTCTGGGCTATGTGGAGGTAGAGAGTGGTTCCCCAGTTGCCTGCATTCCTTGCTCACCCCTTCCTTTGCCCTCTCCCCACCTTCCCCAGGATAAGCTGGCTGCATATTTCCTAGCCCGAGTAGACTCAAAATCACCTGAGCTGCAGCAGGTAAGGAATTGCAGGTAGGCTCCTTGGGGAGTTGCCCCAGGGCATGCTAGGAAAGAGAGGATCCTCTATGGCAGGGGTGGGCAAAATGGCTGATTGGCCTGCAGCCGGACTCCTTTTTCCAGCAGCCCCTGCCTGCCTTACCAGGGCCAGTTTCCATGGAGACCCCAAGAGCAGCCCAGGGTTTCCACATTGAGTGGCTCCAGCTGTGCTGGCAGGGTATGTGGCTGGGCAGAGAGCTGCTCCAGGGCAGGGGTTATGGCCAGGATCTTGTGGTGGTGACAGTGTGGTCCGGAGCCAGGGCAGAGCCACAATCTACTACCTGCGTGCCCCTGCCCAGCCCCAGAGCAGCTCCATGCACCCTGCCGGTGCTGCTGGGGCCGGTCTCCATGGAGACCCTGGCCTTCTGCTATCATGGCCCCACTACTCCTGGGGTCTCCATGGAAACTTGCTACAGCAACTCAGGCAGGGGCTGGTGGGAAATGGAGTCTGCTGCGGGCCTAATCCAGTCCACAGTTTGGAATTTACCTACCCATAGTCTAGGGACAGGCAGGGTAGAGAGGCCACTTGGTAGATTAACTATGGGTTAAAGGGTAACAAGGATGGTTGGAGGTATGAAGCAGGGGGCTGAGGGCTATGGTATGGATGGGTGGAGGGCTCCCCTGGAGATGCTGGGGGGAGATGGGTTGAGGGGGAAGGGTTTAGGGCTGGGCAGACGCCTGTTCTGAGGGGGGAATGAATGGGGATTTGCCCCTCTGTGGGCTTTGAGAGGGAAGCTGTTACAGGGTGGTGGGCAGGCCAAGGCCGCCTTAGGAGGTGTCTGGAGTAGCAGGATTGGTGGGGGGCGGCTGTGGGTGCAGGGGAGTATCCCTGCCATGGGAGTCTCTCTCACCCTGTTACCCCCTCTCCCTCAGCTTGCCTGCAAGTGCTATGCACTGCTTCCCAGACTGGGGGGAGGCTTCCCACAGGGGTTGCCACGCCGGGAGTGCTGGGAGCAGGAGCTCCACTGCATCCTTGCCACACTGCATGGGCTGCTAGGCACGCTCTATGAGGGTGCAGAGACTGGTAAGCCTTGCAACTGGGAGGCACCAGGTATCTAGGGGGGAGTAGGGAGGGGGCAGAAGGACCTCTAGGCATCTGAGTGGGCTCAGGGGAAGATCCAGGTGTCTGGGGGGAGTTGGAGGGTAGGCTCTGGGGTGGGTGGTGAGTTGTCATCTGTCCATGTCTTTCCCCACAACCCGCTGTTGATCATGTCTGCCCTGCCCAGATCCAGTCCCCTACGAGGGCCCTGGGGTAGAGCTGCTGCTCCCAGCACTGCAGGATGGGGAGCCTGGCTGCATCCCGAGCCTACGTGCCCGCTTTGCCGGGCTGGCCCGCTGCCTCCGCCTGATGCTTAGGTGAGACCCCCACCATGGCCCTATTCCTTCCCCTGAGCTCAGCCTCCCCTCCCCTACTGCACTGCTGGCCTGGATAGCACAGCTCCTCTCTACTCCACTCCTTTAACCCTCCTGTACCCCTTTCCCCCCCACCCCTTTTTACCTAGCAACTGCCTTGGGGCATCAGAGTCAGCCCTGGCTGCCAGTGGAGGCTGCCCTCTGCCTCCCCAGTCCAGCACTGCCTGCTGCCCTCTCACCATGTCTCTAACCCCCTTGCTTTTCCACCCCCCTCAGCAGTGAGTTTGGGTCCCCGGTGACTGTCCCCGTCCAGGATATCCTGAACCTGGTGTGTCGTGCCCTCAACATCTCCAGCAAGAACATTGTGAGCTGGGGTGGGGCCGGGGGGTCTTTCAGTCTGCTGCCCTTGGGGTACAGTGGCCGAGGGGATGCGGGGGGAGGGAGAGAACTAGGAGCCTTCTTGTCTCTGCTTGGCTGGGCAGCCTTCTTGGCAGGGGCACTTAGAGGTGTCTCGTCTGAGGCAAAACTGACCGTTGTGAGCAGTAAGTGTTCCTTGTGTGTCTTAAAGAACCAGTGTTCTGCAAAGAGAACAATGGATAAGTGGTTCTTACAGTGCGTGTGGCAGGAGCTATCTGCCCCCCCATTCCTCCTAGGCTGCCTCTAACCCAGGAGTGGAGAAAATGGCAGAGCTGGTCAACAGCTGGACTCCATTTCCCAGCAGCCCCTGCCCATGTCACTGGGGCCAGTTTCCATGGAGATCCCAGGAGCAATGAGGCCTTGACAGTGTGGGGCCAGGGTTTCCGTGGAGAACACCCTTAGTGCTGGCAGGACACGGGGCTGGGCAGGGAGTTGCTCCGGGGCTGGGGCCAGTACTGGGATCTTGCAGCTGTGACTGTGGTCTGGAGCTGGGGCAGACCCACGATCTGCTGTTTGCATGCCCCTGCCTGGGGCATGTAGGCAGCAGATTGCAGCTGTGCCCTGGCTCCAGACCACGCTGTCACCAGAAGATCCTGGCCCCAGATCAGCTCTCCACCCAGCCACATGCCCTGCCAGGGCTTCTGGGGCCCATCTCCATGGAGACCCTGGACACACACTATCGCAGCCCTTCCACTTCTCCATGGAAGCCAGCCGCAGCAATGCAGACAGGGGCTGCTGTGGAATGGAGTAGACTGTGGGACTGATCTGGACTTTTCTCGCGCCTGCTCTAACCTCTCCTCTCATATCCCCCCTCCCCCAGAGCTGGTTTGGGGATGGGCCCCTAAAGATGCTGCTGCTCCCCTCCATCCACTTGGAGAGCCTGGACGTACTGGCTGCTCTCATTGTGGCGTGAGTCCTGCCCCTATGGATTAGAGAACCAGGGCATGGGAAGTGGGGCACATATAGCTGGGGAGAGGAGAGGGACAGGGGGAAGATAGTTGGGGGGGACTGGGAGGGAGGCTGGGGGCAAAGGTGTTTGGGAGGGGTGCACAGGGGACAGAGGGCAGTGCCCTGGGCTAGGTACCTGGGGGGAATGCAGTGTTGGGGAAAGCAGCTGCCTGGGGGGAGATGTTGAGCTTGGGCTAGGGGCTAGAGTGTATGGGGTCTGGTTGGGGTAGGGGCTGTGTAGGAGGGAGCTGCCTTGGGAGAGACAGTGCTAGAAGTAGGTGGGTCCTATCCTGGGCTGGGGACAGGGGGCTGTGGGAAAGGGGCAGGGTCTTGGGCTGTGGGCTCTGTGCTGACCCCCCAGTTTCCTCCCCAAGGTGTGGGGCACGGCTGGCTCGCTGGGGCAGCGTTCTTGCCCGCCTCTTCTCACAGGTGCTGGATGTCTGGAGTGGGGCCCGTGATGCCCCCCCAGGGCAAGAGAAGCCCTACAGGTGGGGGCTGTGGAGGCTGGAGGAGGGGTTGGGTGGGGAGGTGGGGTTCTCCAGCTTGGTGGTCTCATCTCTCGCCTCTCCCCCTCAGCGCTGTGCGCTCCAGGCTGTACCAGGTGCTGGAGCTGTGGCTGCAGGTGGCAGGGGCTGGTGGGGGTGTCCTACAGGGCTCCGGGCCCCTCAGTGAGGCCCTCCTGGGCCACATGCTCAGTGACATCATGCCCCCCACTGACAGCATCAAGGTGAGACCCTCACACCTCTCCATTCCCTTTCTTCATCCCCACCCCTGGGCACCTGCAGCTCTGGGGAATCACTGCCTGCCCAGGGATAGCACCCCCTGCTGGACCCTTCCTACCTGCCCCTGTCTGCTCAGGGGAGCTCCCCTGACCCCCCTCTCTCCTCTTCTGCCCCCCCTCCCCCCAGATGCGCACCGGGCACCACAGCCTGTCCGAGGGGGGCAAGCCCAGTGCCCCCAAGAAGCCAAAGCTGATGGAGGGGGCAGGGGATGCCCCAGCCCTGCACCGCAAAGTGGACCCTGCCGCCAACAGCGATGTCTGCCAAGCTGCCCTCCAGGGTACTGAGGCAGGAGGGGGGGCTGATGAGGAAAGAAGGCCATGGAGGGTCCCTAGAGGGAGCTGAGGGGAGAAGGACAGGTCTGGGGGGTCCCTGGGAGGGGAGGGAGAGGCTCAGGGACAGGGAGAGGGGTCTTGCCTTGAGGCTGGGGTCATGTCAGCCCTGAGTGAAGATGCAGAGAACACAGGGGAGGGGGGCGCTGCCCCCTCCAGACCTGTCCCCCTTTGCCTCAGGAGGAAGGCAAGGAGGAAGGCCATGGAGGGTCAGGGTCTGAGGAGGCAGGGGTCTGGTTTCCTGTAGGGGCAGGGGGAGGGGACAGAGGAAGCAGGGGTCCCCATCTCTGCCTAGGGGGCAAAACCTGGGGTTTCCAGGGTTTGTAGGGACCTGGCTTCTTGGGTTCCTGGCTCTAAGGCTGGGCATCTCTGCCATGGGGCAGACGGGGGCCAGGGCTCCCCCCAACTCAGGGTCCCCAAGGGTTGAGGTTAGGCTGGAGCAGGATTCTGTGCCAATTGGGAGGGCTGGATGGCATGATGGTTGTTGTGAATGCTGCATCTTGAGCCAGGGGAGGGGATTCTCTCCTGGGGAGCTAAGCTGTCCCCTTCCCTCCCCAGCCTTGTACCGAGCCGTGTTGCTGGGAGGGCCCCTCATCAAGGAGGAGATGCACAGAGTGAGTGTGGAGTGGGGGGTGCAATGGGTGCAGGGGTGGGGGCACTGCAGCCCCCTCATGCTGTGATTGCTCGTCCCACCTCTCTAGCGTCTGCAGGAGCTGGTCGTGCCCCTGCTGTTGCGCCTATCCCAGGACGGGGGACCCACCGGCAGTCCTTATGCCCACCCTGCCTGCCGCCTGGCTCTGCACCGCCTTCTGCTGGCCCTGCTGCTCGCACCTGCCCCTGCAGCGGCCCCCCCACCTCTGCACTGTGCTCTCCGTGTCTTCACCCAGGGCCAACATGACCCCAGCCTCGAGGTGAGACCTCCCTGCCTGTTCCTCAGCCCCTCTCTCCCCTCAGCAAACTCTAGGGACCCTTGACACCCACCCCCAGACCCTCCAGACCTGTTCCCCTTTGCCCTCAGTCCCTTCTTTGGGATCCTTTAGCCCTGCCCTCAGCCTCCTCCCTCCCCCCAAGCTCCCTCACACCCCCTTCCCTGTGACACCAAATCAGTAGCCATAGGTCTGCTGTGTCCCCCGCTACCCCTCCACATGTTCTTGCCCCTTTACTCACACTCTGCTACCCCACAGCTGACCCCAGCTTCTCTCATCCCTATCACCACCTCTGGGGAACCCCCATGACCAGTTCCTCTCTGCCCTGTAGGTCTCGTCCTTCTGCGCTGAGGCCCTGGTCATCTGCAGTGCAGTCGCGCGGCCCCGGGTACCCTCCCTCCAGCTGTCCCTATCCAGGCCTAGCCCCACCCCTCCGGCCCAGGCCCCAGCCCCCGACATAGCATCTGC